ATGTATCTCGATGAATTTTGCAGTTTATATGATCGAATAGGATTCATAAGTATTCAGATTTTCCATATTGATCTGAGAGTACTGTGAAGCTTTTCGGCTTCTGCTGAAATACTTATGAACTTCAATAGATTGTAATAGATAATGTTGAATATTTTCCACAGAAAAGCTCGGATGTTTTTGAACTAGATCTCTGACATATTCGACAAGTGTTCTGCACGGGGCGCCGTAATAACGCCGAAAGGAAAAATATCGAAGGGGAAAAATATCGAAAGAAAAAGAACGAAAGTGTTGAAAGGAGAAATGTCGAAAGAAAAATGTCGAAAGGAAAAATGTCGACGGGAAAAATATCGAAGAGAAAAATATCGAAAGAAACAGAACGAAAATGTGAAAAGGCGAATATTGAAAGAAAAAGAATGAATAGAAAAATATTCAAGAGGAAAAATTTGAAGCAATAGAATATATTTTACTTTTAATATAATAATAATATCATTTATTGATCATAAATATAGAAGAAAATGAAAAAAAAATGTTGTTTTATTTTTTCTTCTTAGCAACTACAAGTGATAGACCATCCAAATATTCCATAACATTTATAAGACCATCGTTATATCGTTCAGTAAGATTTTCTATACGATGTTGAATAGCAATAGTTTTAGCTTTTTGTGTTCTTGTACCTAAACCTGAACAGAATTGAATATGCATGTGATAAAAACGACTCTCTTCTGCTTGGAGAAATTTAATGAATGACCAGATGTTTGGATGGTGAATTTGTACTCTACGATTAAATCGACTATGAAATGCTGAGAAATATAAAAGCGTGGATATTATGAAAAGAAGGAAGAAATGCATACCCTCGGCATTATTATTTGTTCTAATACATGATCCATGAACACACCATTGAGAAATAGGAACCTTGAGGAACCATTGTCCTTGAAAATATTCGAGTAAATCATTAATAACTGTTCTCATATCTGGTGCTAATTTTCCGACTAAATCATCATATGCATCTTCAATAACAGTTTCGGGTAGTAATGGAAGAGCCATTAACTTTCGACAAAACGATTTAACATTATCATCATCATTATACATTGAACTTAGACCAAGGTGTTGAATATTTCTATATATGGCTTGGGTGAAATGAAAGTAGCAAGATGAATGTTTTACTGTACTAAACTATGAGATAGGATGAAAAGAACAAGACATACGACACTAGCAACATAAAAAAACCTTTACTTCAGATTTTACTGCACCAGCCAATCCTGGTTCAAAATCACTCATGATGATTTTCGGTGAAAAATCAAGTTTCATCTGTGAAGCTACATATTTCAATTCATGAAATAAAAAACTATACGTATTTTTATATCTATTTGGTAATAAACCGAAAACACAAGGAAATGCTAAAGAGAGAAAATAAGAAGCTTAGAAGTTGCTAAGAACAGAATTACTAACATTGTTTATATTTAATACAATGTATTGTATAAATCTGATCGAATATTGTAGGACAAGCAGAAAATGTACCATCCATAAGAATTACTTCAGCTGAAAAAAGCATTTTTAATTGTTCATGAGATCCAAATAAAATTATTCTCTGTCGTCTATTAATAAATTTATCAGCAATTAAAAAATCATTATTTCGTAATGTTTTAGTGTAAAAATCAGGAAGATCAAATAGTTGTGTTGTTGGAATTGTTGGTGTTACAGCACGACGTGCTTTATTAACTGCACTATCTTAAAAAAAACGATAAGTTACTATTAAGATCAAACATAAAAAAATATGTTTACTTATTTCACGTTCACTAGGTAATAAAGCAATGACTGTATCTGATAACATAGCTCGTGCACACTCTTCGTCATAAATTCGTGGAATAGGTGTTGTCTCATCTATCGCTCGTTGTTTCACCTTTGCTCGAAGTTCACGTACATGTATTAATTCCTGTTCAGTAGGATGACAATGTTCACCAATTACTTTTACCAATTGATCATTCATATTTGTATGAACTTTCATAGAACATTCAATGCACGTACAAATCCAATATTTTGTTGTTGTTGTTGTTTTGTTCAGTTTAAAAATACATTTATCTAGTACAAGTAACAGTTTTCCTTTTTGTGACTGAATATATGAAACAGTTGGAGATTGTGAAATATTATCATCAAGTGAAGAAAAAGAAGTTGCAGCCATAAACATAAATTTTCAATAGTTGAATATAATTTTTTTCACTATCACTATTGTAATTCTTCTATAACATATACTATCGATTACTATTACTAATGGTTATAGTGCTACACCAATAGAATAATGGGAAAAGAACAATAAACTTAGAATCATTATAGTCATCATTTTATGTAGACATCTTTTTTTTCAATATTTCTCTTTCGACGTAATTCTCTGTCGATTTCTTCTCTTTTTCGACGTTTTTCTCCTTCGACGTATAATCATTCGACATTTCTCCTTTCGATATTTTTCTGGTCGATATTTTTCCTTTCGCTATTTTTTCTCTTTCATATTAACTTTTCGTTCTTTTCTTTCGATATTTTTCCTTTTCGACATTTTTCTTTTCGACGTTTTGACGGCCAACCTTCTGCACAGATGCACCGTTTTTTCTACGAAAACGAGAAAATCTGATTAAAAATGTACCTATAGAATTTGAAGATGCTGATAGAACTTCAGTCAAGATTCAATCAAGATCGTAAACATTTTTTCACTGGTTTTCAGTCATAAATAAACCAAGAAACCACTAAATCTTGAGAGAATCGTGTAGTCATGCAAGTTTAAGATTCGACAAGAATCACAACAGAATTGTATTAGGACGCTGAGCTGTTTTCCAATGCAATTTAAATAAGGAATTCGTTAACAGAATGGCAAATTCTTAGAAAAAAGTGTAGGCATGAAATAAACACGATTTTTGAAGGATTAGAACATGATATTAAAAATATTTTGAGGCATTTTGCGATGATTTTGTCAGGATCGTATCAGGATTTGAATGATTTCTAATTAGGAAAATATTTCTTGATTGCACCTCGAACGGCGTCACACTACGATTCTTTAGGGATATTATTCGATTTTTCGGCCGGATCTCTGCAGGATTCTCTAAGCTGGAAATGAAGTGAAACGAGCGCATAGAATATCGATCTCTAGGTCTCCAATTTACAAACCGATGAGTTTAGCGCAGTAGACTATGTCAAGTTATTTAATTTAACTTCAACCTTCAATATCTTGAGGACTCTCTGGAACATTAATATTTACTTGAATAATTTATATAAACATATATTATCCGAAGAAAAATTCCAAAAAATTCAGTATTAAAGTTACTACATTGATCACTTATCATGAAATTCTACCATTAGTGGTTGATTTCAATTTGAATCAAAATATATTTTTCTCATTATTTCAACATAAATAAATTAAATCCAGTGCAATTTTTACTGAAGGACTCGTCGCTAACTAAAAATGTATTTTTAAAGACAAAGTTGAGACAACAACTAATTTTATATTCAGATGTCAATTCTAAAGAACTTTCAAGTTTTAACACATTGGGCACGATGTGGCCCACCGGTGGGCCACGCTATGGTTTTACGAGTAACTGTATAGAAGAACACTTTCTTTTGATTTTTTCTTAGGCACGAGGTTATAAACATGAAGTGTCAGTTGTTCTGTGTTCAGTGCTTTATTTGCGTCCTTTATTCCATAGGATAATGCTTGTCATTAAAACACTCTAGACAAAAAAACTTATCACAGTCAGAACAAAAAGTTTTCACTTTCTTTGCTGCCGCATAGCTTGCTTCTCTTGACTGTTGTGCCTTTCCCTTCGCATAGCAGCTAGTACATCGTCTGCCAACATTGCGCGTAGATCCTTCCTTTTCTTCGAGCTTGTGATCAGCGAGTTTGCGCTTGGAATGACTTGCTGATTGTTGTATCGGACCAGGTTTTAGCTTCTCGATTGGCGCACCAAGGAGTAAAGATCGTACAAGACTTTCTCGAAACTGTAAAATCTGTATGTTGCTCGCCGCATAATTTGCCTTGTAAATCAGATAACTATTAACCACTGCAGTTCCAAATACCAATTCAAATGCCACCTTTTTATACCATTTTATTGACCGTCTCAGGCATGTGTGGTATGTTGATAGTTGATCTGATAAATCAGTACCTTGTCTGCCTTCATTGTAATCGAGAACAACTTGCGGCTTCATGATGCGTTCATTCAGTTTATTGATTTTTCCGGTGTTCACCATAGTTGCTGAATGAAATGGTTTAGTAGATATCATCAGAACGTCTCTTTTATCTTTCCACTTGATCAATTTTACACCGATTTTGTTCTGGAGCCCATAAACCTCACCAGGCTTGAGCTTTTTCTGAACAACTTCATATCCTGATCCAGTACGATTACTTCTCAATGTTCCAATAAGATACGTATCCTGTTCCAACAAACGTTTTGCTAGAGAAATACTAGTAAAGAAGTTGTCAGCCACCACGGTTCGATAACATCCCGAAAGACCATTCAATAGATTCATTACGACTGCTTCAGCATGTCCACGACCTGCCATAGGATCTTGCTGACCAGTATAGATCACATAATTCCAGGTGTATCCATTGGTAGCCGCTAGCTTGTATATCTTTACGCCGTACTTGTGTGCTTTTCCAGGGATGTATTGTTTGAACAAAAGTCTGCCTCGCCATGGTACCATACTTTCGTCGATGCTAATAACTGAGCCAGGCATATATACTGATGAAAACCTCTCTTTGAGTAAATCTGAGAGTGGTTTCAACTTGAACAGCCTGTCGTGGTCCGAATTCTTGTTATTGTTGTTTGTAAAATGCCAAAATTTGAGGAGTAATTCAAACCTCTCTCTCGACATGGCATTTCGTATGATCTCTGATCCGTACAATTGACTACTGCTCCAGTAGTATTTCAGTTTCGGCATTTGTACCAATCCCATCTCGATAATGATTCCAAAGAACTTCAGCATCTCTTCATCGGTGGTTGGTTTCCAGTGACGAAATTTTGACCGTCTGCTAATCTCATGAGTTTGCAAATATTGTTCCGCATAGCGATTAGTTTCACGAACCATAAGGTCAATAATTTCGTCCGTAATGAAATGCCGATAGCAATCGATAGGGTCGATTGTATTGTCTCCTGAAGTCGAAGTTACTTCTTCGACGAGACCATGATCTTCCATAAATTCATCATCCGATTCTGGTTTTATTTCATTCCAGACGTTTGAATCGACCTCGTCATTTGTCACTTCTTCGTCGGAGCTTTCAGATTCAAGATGTATTCTATCGAAATCATCATCCAAAGAACTCACTTCACTTCGTGAGCTAACGCTTTCTTCTGAATCGGTTTCTTCGAACGACATGTGTACTATTCCAAAAATTCACTCGTCTTTATATAGTAAAACAACACATGGATAAGAATAACAGAGAGAAGCCTGGAATTTTCCTCCTTCTTCTCACATATGTTATATATAACATGAAAAAGAACGAAAAATTGACTCAGGCAATTCTAGTTACTCGCGAAAAATGATTCATTATGTAGTAATACAAGAAAGAGAACGATAAATAATCAGTAGAAGATAACGAAAGGGTCATTAAGTGCATTTATTAGAAGTGAACTATTCATAAAAATGACATCTTGCAGAAATTTCATACGAAAACTGAATCGTGCCCAATGTGTTAAGTAAAACTAAAATCCATAAGATAACTGACTACCGTGCTATGAAAGTCATATCATATTGAATATAAATCTTGCAAAACTTTGAAGAAAAATCTTCTGAAATTCTATTCAAACTCTTCTATTCACTTACATGGAGATGTAAATGAATAATAGAATGAGATTCCGATAAACTCTTGAACTCCTAGATTCGTGTCAGAGTGGAAACAAAACACAGTAAAATTCTGAGTGGTTTTAAAAGAATATCAAAGAGAAACTAGTAAAAATTTTGTGGGAACGATTTCATAACATTTTTCAAAATCCTGAACCAAATCTGTCATGACTCTTGAGCATGTTCGAAATGAAAACTGTGAAGATATTCATTCAGCCGCGATATTTTTTCAGAAAGACCCTGAAGATCCTTGGTTTTCATTAGGAAGGATCCGAAATGGATGTGGATGTCGATCTTTGCCTCATTGACACCCACACTCTACTTTGCGGCCATCGATGAACTTTGTCTTGATGATTCTAAGATTCTTTGACATGACGAAATATGGTGTAATAAGAACGAAGAGAAGCATTTTGTTAGGTCAGATGGGACAGATCGTATTGGTCGATTACGTCATACTCAGGGCAAAGATAGTCATTATTTATTGTGTAATATAAATGTGTAATACTTCTCTTTAAAGGCAAAAGACTGACAATTTCCACTCTTCTAAAAGAAACAGATTTTCATCTGCCAACCATTGATATTTTCGAATGTGATGAAGATCACAGCAGGGATTCAAGACATTTTCTGATATGCATTGACTAAACAGCTTCTCTTTGGAGAAAAGAACTTGGTAATGATACTCCTAACCTATTACAATAACATTTTTATCGTTGGCTTGTAGGTAATCAGGTTAAAATTATCTTGATTATTGATAATGCGACTTGGCATAATGAGCTCACCGAAGATATTATCTCTCCCAAGAGAGCGCGGCGCGAGAAACGCATCATCCAGTGGTTGATAAATCATAATGTCACAGTGCCTGTTAAAGCAACTAAAGCCGAGTTACTCGAGCTTACTTTCGATAATCTACCGAAAAAATATTACGTGGCCGATGAGGTTGCTAAAAAATACAATGTCCATGTGTTACGGTTAGTCGTACTCTTTCAAAGGTTTTTGTATATTGTTAAATATATTTTTCAAGCGTGCCGGTGAAGCATTGCATACTCAATACAACTGAATTAGCAACAGCTGGTTTGAAGAATTATGTACGTGACAAAATATATAAACTTTAGTCTCGACGATGTTCGATGTTTGGCTTATCAATGCATGACAGATTTGAACAGAGTAACCACCGCTGCCTATATCAATGAAACACACAGCATCGAAGAGATCTTCAAGAAGTCCGATTGATTCGCCGAAGAAATTGAGGAATAGTTGGGCGACGACGAGGAAGAAGTTAATTTAGAGGTAGAAGAAATGCTCGATTGACACCGTATGTTGCTGTTATTTTTCTTTCTTCTGTTCATCATAAAAGGAAATGAAGTC